AAAACTTGGCATACATTTCATAATTTCTTTTCGAAATAAGTTGTGATCAAAATGAATAAGTAGTAAAAATGGAATATTGTTTACATTACACAAGTGTGTTTAAATAAAATGAGCTGTTATTTCATTTCACTTATGTTCTTTACATACATAATATAAAGCACACTTATTCTGCTTACATATGAATAAAAAATTTTCCTCACAATATAGTTGCATTATATTATTCAAACATTCCCTAACACACACGTCCTTGGCACTCATTAGTTTTTTTTTTGAATCATCTTACCGTAACAACATCTTTTTCTTTTTTATAATCCTATATTAACACACATATTATTCTTATAGTTCTTATAACAATGAAAATTTACTTAGGAATTTATTATAATTTGTGTGAATGAGGAATTCAACGCACATTTCGTAGAATTGTGCCTTCCCCCTAATATATCGTGCATACAGCACAATAATATAATTTCACATCATATTTTTTGAGAATAAGAATATTTTTTCCATGTTGTCTGCGAAAATTATATTATGATAATCAACACTTTTTGAAAAAGTGTCTAGTACAATATATGAAATTATTTTAGATGTTGTGAGCTTTATGAAATAAATTTTATAGGAATGTGTTAACGTTTTAACTATATTACAAAGAGTATTAAAATATTTTTATCTCATCGTGTGTGTTAGTAATTAAACGTGTTTATTATAATAGGAACTCACTGTTTAAAATAAGTATATACTACTTTTAAAATGGTAAAAAGTACATTCTTAATTAAGAATGAGAAAGAAATAAAAATTTATGTAATGTGTATAAAGATCACAACATCTTAAAATATGTATTTATATGTATAACCCTCAGTATATAGAAATTTCTTAAAAAGGAACCTACAAAAATGAAGAATATATTTTAGTATTAGGGGAACAATGAAAATGGCTTAAGTGTGTCACATAGGTGTGACAAAAATAAAATAAATATATATACATCTGTAAATATTTAATGAATATACGAAAAAACCCAAATAGTAACTTATTAACAATATAACATATTCAGTTGACGATAAATTAACAGTAACTATTTAAGAAATTATTAATATTCTTCAACAAAGTTAACCAAAAAATTATAATATAACAACTTTCATTTTAGGAAGTTATTAAATATAAAATTCTCATTATATATCATATAAAAGCCAAGGGGAATAGAAATAATTATACTGATGATAAAATCAAAGAAACAGTACTAAAATCACTGGATTGAAATAAAATTTAATTCTACAAATATAAATAATAAACGGTCGATTTCAAAGGATTTTCTAACTATAAAATAATTTGTCTTGTATAATCATATCAAAATTTTATAATCATACAATATTATTATTGACTTTCAATTTACAAAAATATAATAAAATAAAATTAAATTGATAAGGGTTAATACACACTAACATAAAAGATAATGTGTATAAAAGAATATTTTTTTTTATAAACATAAAATTACATATATATTTAATTTTATATATATGCTTGTAAATGTGTTATGTTTATATGTATACTCTTAATCTATTTTATATTACATAAATAAAAAAAATTTATATACATAATAAAAACATAAATAGTTAATATTTATGTCATAACGATTGTATTTGCTTTGAATGTTATGTAGAAATATTAAACATAAATCCTCTTTACAATAATAAAACAGTCTCTTGCACAATTAGGATATTATTTATTCTTTGTCATTATATAAAACATTACAAAATTAAATATGTATCAGCATAATAATAAAAAAAAATAAATGCATAGGCCCTCAAAATTATTATTGAAACTCAAATCTACCTGCACATATTTTTAATGATAACATTATTTATATGAAACATAGTTCACCATGTACAAAAAATAAAGGAGGTATGAATATCAATAAATATAACATTAGATATATACAATGTTATACTGTTACAATAAAATAAATATGAAGACGTATACACAAATAGCAATTTACAGAAAGAGTCTTATTTCATTGGTTAATGTCACTTAAATGAAACATTTCAGCATTCGTTATTTTATTTATGTGTACTCTATATAACACCTATATTATTAAATATTTTTTATCACCATTTAATTTGTAAACCTTATATTTGAATATATTGTAATTTATATTACTTTAGTGCATAAAAATATTTCAAATTCCTTAAAATAATTCTTATGATGTCAATTATTTTACACTTAACCATGTAAGCTATTGTATGTGAAAATGCTTCTAGATCAAAATGTTAACATATTCGCCACGAAAAATCACATTCATTTATATCTTTTAAGAATATTATTGCTTATATTTCTCCCAAAATTTTTAATATAATGTTATGATACGAAAAATTTAAATTCCTCCTTACATATAACTATAGACATATAAAATATCTATTTTCACAAATTATTTGTTTAAAGGAATTAAAAGAAAAAACATCTATAATAAAAATGGATGGATTTTTAGCGGATACTACAATTATTACTAGAGTTCTTGGTGACTCATATTGTAGGATTCAAAAGTTTAATGAAAATTTTTTAATAAATTTAGATAAATTTGAACGTAACATTAATAAATTTCAAGCAAAGATCTGTAAAAAACTCCAAATAAAATGAAATGAATTATATAAATATGTAAAAAAATAAAAGGAGATATAACGGATTATTTTAAAAAAATAAGTACAACAAATGCTTCACGTGCATAGCGAATAATAAATATTTTTTTTTAAAAAATGCTATAACACTCTTAAATGACATAAAAATAGTGTATTTTATGATAAAAATATTGTTGAAATAACATCATAATCAAAAGATTCCAATAAAGAAGGCAAGGGATGTAAAAATATATTAGAAACTACAGATTAGAATAAAATATATTACGTACCATCTGCAAAGGTATCTAAAATACAAAGGACAAGAAACCAAAGATATGATTCAATGTTAAAATGATGGAAAATAATAAAGATAGGTGAGCAAAAATTTATAGGTACACATTAATTGTATAAATAATTTCATATACTCCTGATGTTAAAGGTAAAGTATCTGAAACGATAGCTAACCACAACATAATGCACCGATACTGGTAGTGACATTGACAGTTGCTTTATTTCGTTTAAAGTCATATTTCCAAAATAGGGACGAATACGAACTAAGGGTCAAAATCTTAGCATCCAAGCATTGCACAATATTATAATACAAGTTGTAACTTACAATCGCGTTATTTAGACTAATTTCCTTTTCCATATAATACGCTTTATTGTGAATCTGGTTCTTAAGAATGTTTTAGAAACCAAGAACTTTAACATCAAAATCTTGATACAGAAAAATGAAATTATGTAGCTATGCATGACAGGATCGTAATGCTAAAAAACATTAGAACAAAAATGGCCTTCACAGAATCACTAATAACAGAAACAGTAATGCGCTAGAAGATAATAAGTTATTGGATATGCCTGTACATAATTATGGATAAAGTGAATATAGAATAAATTTATACAGTGCATCTTCTAACGAAATACATACCAATCTTGCAAATTGCGGTGATGAAACTATTCGCGATATGCGTTGTTCTGATGGAATCTCAAATATTAATAATTCTGATGAAAATAATTCTGTGGAATTATATTCATGTTATAAAAACATTATACTCTAAATGTTATTAAAAAAGTTAACCATATTTAATTTTTACAATATTTATATAACCCAAATTAAAAATTTTATAATGTATCTAAAAAATTAAAAAAAAATTTAGTTAAAAAATTATTCTTGAAAAAAGATATTATGTTCACTGCATTCAAACAAATACTACTGTAATTATTATGACTTAAGGTGCTCATATATTTTTTTATATTTTTACATAGTTTTTGCTTATATAATTCAAAATAAAATAGTATTCTATATGTTTCAAATCTAAAATAAAATAAAAATATTCATTCTTTAAAGTACATCATTCAGTATATACTGAAATAAGCATTTTAAGTGTCATTTTAATTTACTGAAGATATATAAGATTAACAACACTCAGAAAACATAATTTTAGTTAGCATACTCATAAAAATAATATATGTAGTAAAATATATAAAATATTGTTTATTCTCTATTTATTAATATAAAAAAATATATATGTAATACAAAACAGTTTAGCATTTACGATTTATGGAACAATTTATCATATAAGGCGCATATATTATTATATGCAATAGTAAAGAGTTAGAAATAAGACAATAACTGATGCTATTATAAAAACTATAATCATATATTTCATATTCTTATTATAAATAGAGAGAAATAATTTTGTCAAAAGTCACCATCAATATCTATCTATTACAAAATAAATAGATTCAGAATATAAGTAAATGTAAAAACAAATGATTATATATAAAGATGTTTAACTTTTATTTATACTATGTCCTACCTCATGTTAATTGCTAGGAAATGTTATATAATTAATGTATATAGTCATAATATTGAAATATAATGCGTGAAAATTATAACCATAATCATAATTAAATCCAGTTGTAATTAATTATATATGCAATGAAATATACACAAAATAATAGGTAAACCTTGTATCCTGAGACCGTGAACAAATATAGTTTTGGTTCGTATATTGCTGAAAAAAAAGTATATATATATAAGGTAAAAAAAGTTTAAATATATTATACTTTTGAATAATATAAATGACTCATTATATTTTATTATTAATATATTATGACAAAAATATTATAATATTATTAAATATTTAAGATATTATAAAATATATCTAATAATATATCAAAAGTGTAACTATTGCAAGAGTACAACAGGTGATGAATAAAGATAGATTATTTATATTACATTTATTTTTTTTATATATTCTGTTATATAAATTATTTATAAACATGGATATGTAATAAAATAAGTCAATACTTAATATACTAATATGTTTTTTACAATAATAAGTAAAATTGTGTAATAAGCAAATGCCAATAATTGTATAATAAACAATCATGTCAGCAGATCAAATATTGATAGCAATTAAAGTATGTTTAAATTAAAACATTAAAGCACTTACATAAATATATATATAATAGTAACATGATCTAAATCATAACACGTTTTACCCTTTCATTTCTAAATTAATTATAACATTTTTACTTAGATTTTTTTATGTACTAACTACTTTTTTAAATGTTATATTTTCATAGTATTTCTTTATTTTACATTTTTTTTAGGACAAATGTAAAAATAAATGTGACAACAAACAGAATTTATTTGATGAATTAGACAATCTACTGGAAAAAAATAGTTGTAAACAAAAATGTATAGTGCCAGATAATAATATGCTTACAGATAATGATCTTAAAAAATTTTATGACTTTTTGTATAATAATGTATATTTTATACACGAGTATAATGAAGATGAATGTTCCTATTTACGCCAATGGATTGACAAAAAAAAAAAATATTACGAAGACAATGTATCAACAAAAAATGATATGGATTTATGGGATAAAAACATAAATATTATATATCAAGAATTATGTAAATTAAGTAATTGTTTTTTTGGAAATTGTTGTAAATGGGGTGATGCTGTATCTGCATGCGAATATTCATTAAGCGCAGAAAAACTTTTAACTTTTAGATCACCAATAAGTTATATTTTTTATGTTTGTTTTACACTTTTAATAACAATTAATGTTATGCTATTTAATGTAATATAAAAATCATTATAAAAGAATAATAAACATATTTTAAAAAATATTTGATCTAATTGAACATAATAATGACAACTATTTATATATGCTATTTTTTCTATTAATTTATTTCGTATATGTAGATTTCTAAAATAAAACGGTTTTTCTGTAATAAGCGTAGTAAAGTTGTAAAAAGGAAAAATATACATGGCAATCAAACCTTTAGAAATAATAAAGATTTTAAATCGGGTGTGGAAAGAAAAAGAATTAATATAATTTATCAGTCCAAGAACAGTAAATAATTATAACATATCTAAAAATTGAAAAATAAGTTTAATTATATTTTAAACAAAATTCTCATTTCTGAAATAAATATACCATAATGATAACTTTGCATAATAACATGTATAACAAAAATGAAAAATATGGGATACCATCTAAAAATCAAATATATTCTAGGAACACACTAGCTATACATTGAGGCTTCAAAAAATATAAAAACGTATTTTAAAATGAAAAAAAAAAAATTTGCATAAAAATGGCAATCCAGTTATTTAAAAAACAAAGTGGTTATATAAATTGTTTTCACGTAATTTTATAGCAATCTTGTAACAATAAAATTTACAATTTACAGGTGAAAAAAAAATTATTTATATATATTTACAATTCATTCAAATGGTCAAAATAATATAATTTTTTATATGTTTTAGAGTACAAGCAATTTATTTTAGATGATTTTATTGTATGTATAAATCATCTGATTTGTTTTATATGTAAATATTTTTTCACCTATTATAATTTGTTAATAAAATGTGTTTTGTGATAAACGCTTGATACACATTATACGTGTGTTCTGGTTAATTCTTAATTTTTTTTATTTTATTATGTTGTCTATAAAAAGGAATAAACTAATTCATGTGCCAATTACAGTTTAAATTCAATACATTTACTTGTCGAATATAACATAAAGGGAATATATTTTAATGTATGTTATATAGATTAAAAATTAAAAATGAATTATTATACTTTATAAAAAAAAAAAAAATTATAAATATATTCTTCGTATTATAAATATTACATAGGTTTGTTCTTCATAAATGTAAATAAAACAGTGATGTTTTAGTGAAATTTCCAGGTCCATCTTCTATATCTTAGCATAATGAGCTATATCAATTTTTATATTTGCAATATTTTAATACTATAGATCGTGTAATGCATAAATTTTATGTAATATTAGATGTGCATTATTACTAAAATGTATTAAAATAAAAATACATATTTAATTTAATGTCTTCTTCCTGCTGTTCTTTATTTTGAACCCTTACATAGCTTAATATCTTCATAAGTTTTCCATGGTCAGAAAAATAATAACGCTTAATATAATTGTAGCATTCATAATCCGCCAAAATGTTATAATATACAAAAGTTTCATTGTCAATTATATTTATTTAAATACTGTAATTAAGATATACACATTACATGTCCAATTATGCACCTTTACAACTAGTATTAAATTTTATGCTTAAAAATGTTTTAATGTGTAATTACAAATTTATCTTATCCAACAAATATCCCAATTTATATGAATTGTAGACAATAAATTTAATGATACATATATTCATTTTTTTTATTTATTAGTAATAACAGAATATAAGACTATTAATTTATTAAAAGTACGAACGATATAATATAAATTATATAAACAAAAATTTTTTAATATTTTCTTTACATGTACATAATTGGAACAAAAAAATTTAACATAAAAGTGAAGTGATTTGTAACACAAGTTTAAAAGCAACTGTTCAATAAAATATGTGTGTTTTTAGTTATAGGTAATTGAAGATACTTTTAAGTATAAAGATACAGGTTTACACTTTTACGTTTCCATTATATAAAAAGTATATACATAAGCATAAAGACAAATAAAGCAAAAAATAACATGTTTAGACCAATTTAAAAAATTGTACATAGATTCATTTAACAAATATTTTTCTCACATTAAACAAATAACATATCTTATAGGGAATATCAATGGTCATTGTGTTTTACCCAAAACTAATTACTATATATTTTACTCTTTTTTATGAATGTTTAAAGTATTTAATGGTTATACACATATTTAGTACACAAATTCTTTAATATCATTGATAATGTATGTAACTATGTTACTAATTATAGTCTATATAAAAAATCTATATAAAAATAACATAATGCGTAAATATTCATTTTTTAAGCTATATAACAAATTGGGGTCCTTATATATTAATGATATTAGTTCAGATTTATATAAATATTATAATAGATAATATGTATATTAACCTTTCTCCTTTTGTATTTTATGCATTTCGTGCACAAGGTTCTTTACATGAAATTTATATAAATTTATTCAATTTATTTGGATAAATGATTTATCAAATATTGTATTGAAATTTCATGCACTAAAAATATATTTCATTGAGTATTAATATACGAATAATTAGATATATTTATTTGTATATAAAATCACATTTTGTTCTTTACATAACATATAAATCTTTGTCTATTTTACATGCCACTTTTAAAAGACGCACTTTAAATTGTTAAAATATTTATGCATTCTTTCTCTGTTCATAACGTAATGTAAATATTTTTATTTAGCATCTGAATAAATTAGAAGAATGCATTGAAAAAAAAAAGAAGCATATATGTAACAAAGCAGATCCTGTTGAATATGATAGGCCTTTGAATTATACTATAAATTTCATAATTACAAAAATTAATGAATCAAGTATAATATGTATATACTCTTCGAACGTAACATTTCCTGATTTTGTAATGTGGTAATGAATAATAATACATTCAGCGTTTATGCAAAAATCTTAACTACTATAATACATGTATGCATATTAACATGGTAATGTATGCATTTCCTTGGAAATAATTATTATATTATGACAACTAAATACATTCTGAATATGACTAGTTCTCATAACACCATTAGTGAATATATTTACGTAAGGTATTATTATATCTAAATAACACCATTTTCAATCTTAAAAATACTTCTACAATTTCAAATATAATAATAAAGCTTTCAAAACTATTTTTGGAAAATTTTACTGCACCCCTTTAATGCTATGAATCTAACAGGATATTATAATGTTTAACGAGAATGACAATAACCAGGGAAAATAATGTAACATTAAAATATTTTGGAGGTCTATATAACAGTGTGTCCTCTACTAA